GATTTTATATTAAATCACTGTTTTGCTGCCACTGACTGGCAGATCTCCCGCAAAGATACCGGAAATAATATCTGTATATGGACTATGTTACTGGCTACATCAGTAAATACATTGAAGACGTGGTTCCCAGGATTACTGTTCACACATATCCAAATCAGAAACTGTGGGTAAATGGTGAGATACATGCTAAACGTAAAGCTAGGACAGCTGCTTTCAATTCTGGCGATAGGGATAAATACCAAAAATCCAGATATGACCTCAAAATAGAGTCATATTATCATGACTGCAACACCTGGAACATGTGGAGTGGTATACGCACCATTACAGACTACAAAACGCAACCCAGCTATATCGCACAATAGTCTTCCTCTCTTCCTAATGAGCTAAATTCATTCTATGCTTGGTTTGAGGTCAGTAACGCAAATCCAGTCAGGAAGATTTCAGAAATTCAAGACGGAAACCCACTGATCATATCCAGAGCGGATGTGTGTAAAGTTTTTAAAAAGACCAATCCACGCAAGGCTCCTGGCCCTTATGCTATCCCTGGCCGTGTTCTGAAGGCATGCACAGACCAGCTGGCAGATGTCTTCTCAGACATATTCAATCTCTCTCTAACTCAGTCTATAGTTCCTTCCTGCTTTAAGAAAACCACCATTGTTCCTGTTCCTAAGAAACCCAGAGACAGCTGCCTGAATGACTACCGCCCTGTTGTACTCACATCAGTTATCATGAAGTGCTTCAAGCGGTTAGTCAAAGCATACATCAACTCCTCACTGCCTGACACCCTAGTCCCACTGCAATTTGCGTATCGCCAGAACAGGTCAACAGAAGATACTATTGCCACTGCCCTCCATACTGCCCTCTCACACCTGGATAAGAAAGGAACATATGTTAGAATGCTGTCTGTTGATTACAGCTCAGCATTCAATACCATAGTGCCCTCAAAGCTTGTCATCAAGCTCCAGGACCTGGGACTGAATACCTCCCTCTGTAATTGGATCCTGGACTTCTTGACAGAAAGTCCATAGGTGGTGGGGGTGGGCACCAAGACCTCCTCTACCCTGACTCTAAACACTGGAACCCCCAAGGATGTGTGCTTAGCCCTGTCCTCTACTCCTTATTTACCCATGATTGTGTCACCAAGCATAACTCAAACTCCATCATTAAATCTGTGGACGATACAACAGTCATCGGCCTGATCACAGATGGTGAAGAGTCTGCGTACAGGGAGGAGGTTGAAACCCTGGCAGCATGGTGCCAGGAGAACAACCTCTCTCTGAACATCAGTAAAACTAAGGAAATGATTGTGGACTATAGGAAACACCAGGAAGGAGATCACACACCTATCTATATCAATGGGACTGCATTGGAGAGGGTCAGCAGTTTTAAGTTCCTGGGAGTTAACATCTCAGAGGACTTAACCTGGACCCACCACACCAACACCGTGGTCAAAACAGCATGGCAGCATTCTTTCTCCGTAGGCTAAAGAGGTTTAGCATGCTGTCACATATCCAGGCCAACTTCTACAGGTGCACTATTGAGAGCATCCTGACTGGTTGCATCACTGCCTGGTATGGAAACTGCTCCGCCCGGGATCGCAAAGTACTGCAGAGGGTGGTGAAGTCAGTGCAGCTCATTACCGGCTGTGAGCTACCAAACATCCAGGATATCTACTCAGCTAGAAGGCCAGGTCCATTCTCAAGGACCCCAGTCATCCAAGTCACAAACTGTTTTCCCTCTACCGTCTGGTAAACGGTACCGAAGCATTCGAAGCATTCGGTCAAAGTCCAACAGATTACGGAACAGATTCTACATCCAGGCAATAAGACTGCTAAACAGCCAACCTGCAGCTCCTTTAGCAAATCACCCGTAATGGCTACATGGACACACAGTTTTCATTGTATTCAGCATACTGCACTACTTAGACATAATACATTGCATACACCATGGACACATAGCACCTCAATTCATATTGAGTTTTATTCAATTTCTATTACACTATTATCTATTATTATGTAACCTTATTTTCCTAACCTTAATTTTGTGATTCTTGCGATTTTTAAAATTTTTGTGAGCTCACATTGCATGCAACTACTGCTGCACGCTGTATTGTTGTGCATTTGATAAATAAACTTTGATTTGATTTTGAATTTGATTTTGATGTATCTTGGATGTATCTTACCTTGTGCCCATTGCTAATTGGGATAGGTCTGGCTCCCAGGCTTCAATTGAACAAAGTGCTTAGAAAATGGATGGATGAATGGAAGAACTGCTCACTCTTCAGATCAGAAAGAGACAGCCATTTTGACTGAAAGAACATTTTATGTAACCCTCCCATGCCATTTCTGGAAAGCTGTCTAATGAAAGCCAAGTTTCAAAAAACATGTTAAAAAATACTGCCATGCAGGACTTTATGTATTCAGTCCTTAAAATCTTTAGTCATGGGTGCAGATGCAGAAACTTTCTCATGTTTTTTTAATCAAATTTAACTTTCAACTCAGTGATGCAACTAATCCCCCTCTGCTATGGGGGGAGATGAGTTTCAGATTTTTAAAATCAAAGGCAATTCACTGATTGACAAAAAGCAAAGCTTGTAACTTGTTTTTATCTGAACAGAATTAAAACATGCTGAATCTGATTTTTTAGAACTAAATGCAAACAGATTAAAAGATTAACTAAATTGTTCCTGCATGTATCAAAGTAATTTCAACCTAGTATGTAATGTAAGCATGTTCAAATTCCCTTTAGAAATAAACGGACAAACTTGAATCCTGATGTGAACCCTTAGTCCTGAGAAATGCAATTAGTATATTATTTAACTGATATGTAAAACTTTGGTATACAATCTGACTACAAAATCAGGTCTCAAAGCATAATTATGTTTGGCATGTAAAGATTTTAATAGTTATTTCCATTTGCTAATTTCATCCTAAAGTGCTTCATATATACAGTAAGAGGAGACCCTTTTCATCAACCATTGACATCCAATACACAGTAGATTAGGTGGAGAATTATGAAATTACTTCACCAGTTTTCCCAGCCATTTTCTAACTGCTTTATTCAATACAGGCGAGCAGGGGGCCTTAAGCCTATCCCGGCAAAGAACGCAAGGCAAAACACACCACTGATTGGATTCCAGCCCATCGTAGGGCACACACAGACATGCACACACTCACACCAGGGCCAATTTTCCTAGAAGCCAGCTAACCTACCAGTATGTCCATGGACTGTGAAAGGAGACCGAAGCTCCCAGGAAAAACACATGCAAACATAAGGAGAACATACCAACTCAATGGAGATAGTACTCCAGGTCTGGAGTTGAACCCAGTGCTGTGTACCACTATGCCACCCATTTCACCAGCTCCATTAAGCGTAGGTTTATGAAGTACACATTGTGCAAGTACAGAGCAAAATTTTGAGATTTATGCGGTAAGAGGGGGAGATCTTTAAATTTACCAGAAAGAATACTCAGAACTTTGGTTTAAGTTCTCGTCTGGAAAATGTCCCTATTCTGGGGCAATAGTTTGGAAATTCTGGGTCAGGGGGAAGTGTGCTACCACTAATCAACCAACATGAGCAACCTGACTTTAAATCCTTTTTATAATGCAATTCTTCATGAGCCTTTAGAAAGCTGGTGCAGTCGGTTTCCTGTGCTGGAGCTGGATTGTTACAGTCTGTGTGTTTTGTTGGAGCTGGGCTATTACAGTCTGTGCCCCTTGATGGAGCTGGACTGTCCTGTGCTAAAGCTGGACTATTGTAATAGGTGAAGGTTACTCACCGGAGGGCATTGTGCCAGTTTGTCAGCTGCCACCATCTGGACGTTCAAGTGTTTAGCCTGGGATTTCCCTCTAGACTTAATTAATCTCTGTAAAACCTAAAAAATTGAAAAAGCAGACAAAGAATAGTTATTCTGCTTATTGCTCTTTTTAATCACTCTTTTTCGACAGTTTTCCAACAATGCTTTTTATTTTGAGTGTCACATGTAGTTCAGAGCAGTACAGTAAATAGCACTTGTTTTATTTTAACAAAACATCCCAATAAAAAAAGAATATTTCATAAATGAACGTAAAAGAAAGTATATACTTTTGCAACACTCTTTCATTTCTGCTGTTAGTCTATCAGTTAAGACATTGTCTTGCAACCTGGAGCAAGGAATTTCATTGTGGTTTGTAGATTTACAAGAATGTATTTTTCTTATGTAAACAATACACATGACTGCTAAATATTGTAGTCATGAGGAATAACATTACCCACTAAGAAAAGGTGTTTTGGAATGTTTATGGAGAAGCCAAGCACAGTAAATTGGCTTAACCTGATTCGCTGCAGGATGAGAAAGTTAGGACCCACAGAAAGAAATTAACCAAAGGGTGCTGCAAAGCTGGACATGGGTTAAAGGAGGATATAGGAAGATGAATGGGGACAAGAGAGATAAAGGCTTACTGTGGTATTTACTGTTTTTCATGGGAAAAGTATCTGAGTTTCAGTGCTAGAGATCAGGGAGAGGTGAGATGGTTGCTGTCATCCCTCTTGAACTCTTGTTAAAAACTTCATTTCATATTATATACTGTATATGTTATTAGATTATAGCTATAATTAGTTATTAAATTAGCTATAATTAAATTATCTACATCTGATTATTTTAATTTAAAAATCATTGTTTTACTTTGCATATTTGATAAAAAATTTATTATTAGAAGTACAAATGCACATATATATCTGTACATGATACTAATATTATAATTATTTCTGTACTTTACTAAGATTCTTAGCTGTTTAAGTGTTGTGTTCTTCACTATTAAGAAAACATCAAAGTATACACAAAATATTTTATTTGTTTTCTGATTTAAACATTCAATTGTCCACATAGATATTCACTGTAAGGATTGACTACAATCATATAATTGCAGATACATCTAAATTCACATTTAAATCTAATAGTGAACCATAATCAGCATTTCATCAATAATCTACAAGGAAACAGACAAGAAAGACTGAATGGCCACCTCCTGTTTATCACATTTAACACATTCACATGGGCTTAGGTTCTTATGTAGGGGGAGTTAAGTACAACAAAAGCCTTAGAACAAAGGAACAAAACAAACTACTGACACAATCAGTAAATTGAGTTGCACAACAGGAAGGAAGCAAACTGTACACAGTTCGATAAGAGCCTTAGTAAAAGAGTTGTACCATAAAGTACAATTTAGAAAAACATGGTCCCCATGGCTTGGAGAATGGGAAATTAAACGTTCATTGGATATTACGCAAGCAGTGCTCAAGTGTACTAGTTTGACTGAGCCCTGGGACTGAGTCATAAGAGGTGGAAATAAAACTGTTTAGGCACTGTTTGCATCACATTTGACAGTTATCTGGCAGTTTAATGGAAAGGTATTTAAAACTCAACCTAGAGGTCTGGTATTTAATAGATCTTTCAATTACAACTTAATTTACTTGTCATAAAATGTCTAATAAAATGAATCCCGATTCTACTTATATTTTTCAGTTCCCTTTAAGGAAAATCTATAGGTTAGAAAAAAATACAAAAATAACAATCTGAGCAAGTGTCAACAAAAATGTATAAACTTAAATGACAATCATGGAAAAATGTTAGATACTTAAGCGTTCAATAAAAGTTAGAAAACACCCACTTTTACTTTTCTAACAAGAAACGTACCTTAGGAGATGAAATCTTTACATAAACAATGATAGGAGCCAGGGAGGTCTTCCCAAGCTGAGCTGGATGATTGATGGTGTCAGCATCCAAAACCACCAACTGCAGGGTCCTTGCAAGTTCAAATATTCTTTCAATTTCACTTTGCACTTCAGCTAGATGAAAACAAAGAAGTAGCATCACTCTGATTTTAAAGATACAGTATAAAACCAAAAGCTCCAAAGTCACGCCTGTCCAGAGATGTACTATATACAGTATGTGGAATGTCCCTAACAGAGAGAAAAAAAACACTTTAATATCTTCCACTTTTTTTGCACTACTGAACCTCGAAGCACATGGATGTTCTAACATAATCCCAGAGCTCTATTCTTGAATACATCTGTGTGATATATTTGGTGAAAATGGTAAATCTATCCTTATGCATAGAAACCATTATTCAGTGTTGCTATAATTATATAAATACAGTACATCTAGCATCCGTGATTATATTGTATGCCACCCCCAACTGAGCGAAATAGAAAATGTCACATGAAAGGGATAAAAATAAGTAAATATTTCTGAGCCAAGACCAGACAATACGGTGCCTGCACATCTCCCTCCTTTTTTGTCTGGACGGTGTGTATAGAGATGGACATTACACCTGGGTGCCCCAGGACTTCTGGAAGCAATTCACAGGGCTTAGAGGATATTTTGAGATCCCAACCATTACTAGGGCCTTGCTGACTTTAAAGACGACACACATTAATCTGTCTGAAATGTTGATCAAAACATTGCAATGAAAACATTGTCAAGAACACTTATGTCATCGAAATCTTATATTTGTTCTTGATTTGGAAAAAAATGAAAATGGGTGAAAACTGGTTCACAATATAATAATGAAGTCAATGACATGAGAACAACCTGGTGAATAATAACATTTCCTTTAACAAGAAGGATCAAATTTTGACTGACTTGGTGTTTAAATTAAAAACATTAACCATAGCTGATCAAAGTTCATATGATCACAAAAACAGATGAAGTGGTACAATATCCCATAAATGTATTGTTTTTGTGTGTTCTTTCATAAGAACTTGATATCATTAAGCCATGCTGCTTGCTTAGATGTGTATTTGTGATATTTAAAAACTTCTAACCATTCAGAAATTGTGGTAGAATCATTAAAACCACATTAAGAATAATTTCTAATTAAAGTACAACTTGGAATGAGAATAATTTTAAAGCACCGAAATGTTAACGGGAAGCTTTTTCCAAGAATAGAGCACCGTATTTTATTTCTTTCCATACATCAAGTTTGTAAGGTGAGGGAGGATGAAAAGTAAAGGCAATTAAGTCGAATTCTATGATCAGACTTTTGTTACAAAGGACAAAATGGGTTAGTGAGGAAAGAGAAATGTAGGTAAAACCGACTCAATCATTAAAGAAAAGCAAAAAACAAAGTAAATTAATCATTCTGTGTAATACATATAATACAGATTCATAAAGGTCAATTCATATCAATTCAAGACTTTGTCTCTCTTTATCTTTGCTCATTCTCAAATCTCTACATGGTGGCAGCTTCCTGCTGGGAAGGAGTAAGAAGCTCCTGGCAAACAGAAAGTTGCCACCAAGTAACCCATTGAAATTTCCCAATGGTTCGTCTACACTAATGCATCCTGGCCCTCAACAGGAAACACTTATTCTTCTGGTTTCTGTTCTGATTGAGCTCTCAGTTACTTGATTGATCTTGTAATTATTAAACCTGTTTTTAATCATGTTCAGCTCTTCAACAGATTCAGATTTCAAGGTAACTATGATATTCTATTTCCATTTTCTTTAAAGAAATCAGTAACAGCCATTTATTTTTGTTGGATGTTTGTCAGCTGATTTTAACATACAGCTCTCCAATAGAGAGTCACGCACCTGCTCAGCTACACAACACTGAACAAGTGTTCAGTGACATGATCCGGACTAAACATAGCAACATCCAAGCCACAATGGCTCAAACTGCACTCTGACAGAGTATGGATTGATCGAGCCACTTGGAAGTCGGAATATCTCAAGAGCTGGAAAAAATTGGACAGGCTACTTATTAAATTAAAAAAGGATTTAAACAAGCCCAGCTGAAACAAGATCCAGGAGAGTATATCTTCAGCATTATTATTGCACTTCTATTATTTATTTTTGGCTTGTATTGTATTAAAAATAATATAATGTGCAAAACCCACCAAGAAATGTTTTCATTTTCCTTGAGGATTAACGACTGAATTGTGATTCAGATAATCAATAAATAAAGAAAAACAAACCAGAGATAGGAGCTTTAAATTAAAGAACAGCATGTGCTTTTGCACCTTACTCATAATATTGATCACAAATTGCAAAAGGAATGAGTGAAACATTAAATTAATATGGATCCAGCCAGTTATCTTCAATAGTACCCTCTTATTTCTTTTACCTTAAATAAGATATGAAACAGATTTCAACTCTTCACAAAAGTTAAGATTGTGAAGATCAAAAGGTGGAATCCTACTGCTCATAGAAAATTAATGTTAGTTTAATGTTATAAGTTCAGATATAAGTTATACAATCAAAAACGTTGTTTATTTTTTAGCAATCTGTTGAAATACATGAATATAAATTAATATATTCTAATCACAATTCTTCATCTATCCAAATAATTTACAGTTATTTACCCACTGCATTCTCATAATCATTAATTTATCTGAGCTTGTTCGCTTCTTACAATGAACCTAAAGCTGCAGGCAATATCTGTATTCCCCTACACATGGTATGCATGTTCAGGTTTCTAAATTCTAGTTTGATCTGATGAGATCTTTCTGTTTTGTTTGGCTAAGATGATCTGTAGGACTACAGCTCATAAATCACCCAACAAATCAAAGGAGAGCGTATCCGATACTTTCAAATACAAGCCAAAAATAATCCTTTTCATTTAATTGTGAAGCTAGTTAAAACACTCATTTGATTACATATAATCTCTTCCTCTAATCTGTACATAACAATGGTCTCTTTGCACACAACAAACACTGAACACACACAAACATCTACAAATATACCATACATACCCACAACATCTGGAAAGGGAGGGCATAATGAAAGCAATAGAATGGAAAAAGCCAGGAAAATCAGGTCCACGTACAATTGAATAGAGTGTGATACATGTATTCCAATAGCACTAACTGCAGGAATTGTACACTGACACACATGACACATAGTAACAAAACATGATGCCACCTTTGCAGACTTTACAAAATGTGACTGAAACTGCAGAAAGATACAGATATTTTCAGGATTCTAAACACTTAGGTAGTTGTCAAAGAGCAATTTACCCAAACGGAAAAAAAAAAGTTTAATGTTTTTAATGTTTCAGGTAAACATTAAAATTGATATAAACCATAAAAATGTTTGTGCATGGGGAAAAATGAACAAATAATAAAACATGTAAATTGGTTTATAAGTTCACTACATTTTTAGCCCAAATCCCTATAGTACTTCATTCTTATATTTTAAAATTATATTTTAACACTTGTTTCATAAGACTACTGCATGAAATAAGAACAGAACATCCTGAGAGGACCAGTTCTGACTCACTTCTCAGATTTGGCGCTTTAAAAAAAATGTTTTCTATTTGGTTTAATAAGATGACTTGGCAAAGAGTTCTTAGCGTCAGCCATTTTCTGTGGAAAAGTGTTTCCTGGTAGCACATTTCAATTTACTTCTATGAGATTACCATTTATGTCCCCACAATCTACTGCTATTGTAATTATTTGATGTTTTACATCAGAGGAATGGTTGTTAGCATTTGCTGGGATTCTAATAAAAACTGACTGTTTAGAGGTTTTTGCAGGAGTGAATATCAGAATGTGCAGGTTGATGGTGGCAGTGGGTATTATTTTGTTTCTCAAGCTCATTTTATTGTACCTGTTTAATTTAAATACACACCTTTTCTTTCCTCTTCCATGTTCTTTTCAACTTAGCCATCAACACTATGCAATTACTGCGGTTGTCAGTGAGGTGGGTTAAATAATAGAGCTGTATATTTCATACATCAAATAAAACATAGTACAAAGGCTTTCAAAAACACATCTCCAGTATATCTGATGTACTGGACCATGACCAAGTATAAAGAGAGAGAACACTTGGAAACTTGTTCAGTCCTAATTCAAACTACCTATATTATGAACAATCCTCCAGTGTGTGCAAAAAGCAAACTGCAATTATTTTCACTACTTTCAGTTACACTTTATTTTTCTAATATGCACAAGGTTATCAAACCAGTTTTTTAGAATTACATTTATTATCATTGTGATAGGATTGCAGGTTGAGGCAAGATGGCAGATCTTGTAAATACCCAAGAAAGCCTGTGGGGAATGACCTGCCACCCCCAGTCTCCTAAATGGAGGAAGACAACTGCCCAAGAAACAGTTAAAAAACCAGGAAGCAAAGACTTGCAGGGCTGCAAGTCAAGAAAGTGAACAAAACCTTTGTAACCTGCTGCACCAGAGAGAAGTGAACAAGGAAACAATCAACTGATAGGTCTGTAGACATGCTTGTACAATTTGTTTTACGTTTTTGGATTAAGAGTTTTACTATAGCAACAGAGTCTGGTTTTTGATACCATTAAGCAGCTTAGCTGCCCAGTTGTTCATAGACAGGATGGAGAAGAAATTATTTAAAACTCAAAGAAAAGCTAGGGTTTTTTGTGTTTTGGAAGTGCATCATAAGCAAAGCACACTGTTATTTTTACCATATGGCTAAATTACCCTGAGACACTTTCTCTTAAACTACCCACTTCATGGTTCAAGACTAACAGCTTTTATGTTTGAGATACTGTAACTATAGCATCTCTGGGAGAAGCGATGCAGCTCTTTGACTGCACTGTAAGCTCACAGGTGCCCATCAAGCCACAGGAATAGCAAAAAATGGAAGATACTGCCCATTTAAATCTCATCCAATCCCTGCATCATTCATCCAGATCTGTGGTCAAATTTACTCGCACGTTACTCAGACTCATTCAAGTGAAGTAAATTCTCCTCAGGTTGAAGGATCATCTTTACAGGCTGAATCACTTGGAATTCAAATCTCTATACAACTGTCTAGAAGTACTGGTGGAATGTTTGGCAGAGAGGACTACAGAGATATCTTTTATTGTTTCAATGCAATCACACTTCACACGATGATAAGCTGTGTGATAAAAAATGGTGAACACTGACAAAACACAAAATTAACAAGCACTTGGAACACAGGCTGCTAAATTTCTAATAGTCTGGTTGATACTCTTTCTAGATTCTTGCACTAATTTTTCTAATTTCCTTAAAACATTTAATCTGAAAAAGGGTAATATGAATAGGCTGCTAATGGTAGCACTAGCACCTATATCAACAATGGTGATTCTATGGACAGACTAACCCACATACTGTATAAATTAACTTTTCAATGGCACCATATTTTTGTGCTCTTGAAATATGACGCAACACACATGAAGAAGAGGGATCTAGGGATATGGTCAATATGCAAATGCTATGGTATAGATTTGACAATAAAAGTTATTTCTAAAACAGGTACGGTTTCTATCATTTTACTTTTAAAAACAAACCTAATTTGTAGGGATCAGGTGTAGTGTGGAACAAATTGTACTGGGATGAAAGCATCTATGATTTACTTAAACTTCAGATGCATAAGTGTGGTTGAATATAGCTTTCATTTCCCATACACTGTACTGTATATATAAATAGAAATAGTATAATGGAAATTTCCTATGAAGTGCCCCTAGCAGAATGTCCTTCATGCCTGTCAAGGATATACACACCACATTTTACATCAGCACTATTTCCATCAAAAAACAAAAGTAGTAGTGAGGACTGAAAAGTAACTGTAGGACATCAAAAAAAGGCTAGATTTAGACACTTTAGGACAAGACTGTTGTACCACAAATACACAATTGTTGGAAAATCACAAAAACTGTTGTGCAATGTGCCATTTACCTCACATTCACAGCGAATTAAAAACAAATCCACAAAAGCATAACTCTGTCTTCCTAATGTTGGTTATATGGCTTTCATCTAAAAATTTGCATTTCCCATCTTCAGATTTTGTAGGTGAAACATCAGTGCCAAACAGTAAAAAAGCATTCATGGTACTCACCTAAACTGGACCTTGTGTTGGAGCGCTCTATGATTGCATGTTTGCTGGGGTTGTTTAATACTGAGCGTTTGGCAAGTGAGATGTCAGCTGTGACCCGTGTGATTGATATTCTGAAACAACAAAAAATATACAAGTTGAAAGATATCAGTTGTTCTCTTATTGCGTGGAGAATAAGGTTAGCCCAAAATGTCTGGAATAAATAAGTTTATTTTTATCTGTTTATGAGTAAAGAAAAAAAGTGCAGTAAGGAAAGAAACATGAACAATCACCATAAAATTAAAGGTAACACAGTGGCTAGCATTGCTGCCTTGCAGGGTTCAATTCCCAACCTTAGGCTATCTGCATGGAGTCTGCATATTCCCCCTGTGTGCTCATGCGGGTTTCCAAAAACATACTGGTAAGTTAAAAGGCTTCTGGGAACACTGGCTCTAGTATAAGTGTGTGTGTGTGTCTGTATTTATGTCTGTATTTGCACCCTGAGATGGACTGGTATCCTACAAAGGATGTACCTGCCTTGCTGGGATAGGCTCTGTCTCCCTCATGACCGTGAATTGGAAGATGCGTTTAGAAAATGAATGGATGTAAATGAAAGGTTAAATGGTAATACTTTATAATAAGTGACTTTTTCATTCAAGGAGAATAGAAGAAGTCAACCATGAGTACAAAAATAAATACAACATACAATGTACAATATACAATTCTGATTTATATAACAGGGTATAAAAACTCTGCTACTTACTATAAATTTACACTGGGTGGACAAAATATTAGGGAAATCTGCTCTTTCCTTGAAATAGACTGACCAAAACACAAGAAACAGCAGTTGCAGTGGGCTAAGGAATGAAAATATTGGACACTGGAGAATTGCAAAAACATTGCCTGGTCTGATGAATCCCGGTTTCTGCTGTTTCACTCCGATGGGAGGACTAGGGTATGGAGAAAACCTTGAGTCCATGCATCCATCATTCCATGTGTCAACATTGCAGGCTGATGGTGATGTGATGATGTGGGGTGTGTTTGTTTTCATGGCACTCAGTGGGTCCCTTGATAAAAATGGAGCAACCTTTGAATGCCACAGAATATCTGAACATCACTGCCAATCAGGTGCATACCTTACTGGCAGCAGTGTATCCGTCTGCAAATGATTTTTTTCAGCAGGATAATGCCCCTTGCCACAAGGCAAAGATTGTCCAGGAATGGTTCCATGAACATGACAATGAATTCAGTTTAATGCAGTGGCCCACCCAGTCATCAGATCTCAATCTAATTGAACATCTGTGGGATGAGATGGAACAAGCTATTTGGAGTAGAGATCCACTACCAGCCAACTCAACAGAACTGTGGGAAGCACTGGAGTCAGCATGTGTCAGCATCCCTGTGGGACGCTTTTGACAGCTTGTTAAGTCCATGCCCTGACGAATTGAGGCTGTTCTAAGGGCAAAAGGTGGTGTGACACAATAAAAGGAAGGCTTCCCTAATGTTTTATACACTCAGTCTATGAAAGAGGGAGATACTACTAGAAACATTGTATGATATTATTAGAAACACTGTATGATAAACTCAAGACAAAATTACATGGTAGACAGATGGCTCTTGTCATGTGGAGTACAAGAGATGAAAGTCAGGAATTAGGAAGTGAAAAATGTATCTGGGAATTTAAGTTACATATCATTATCTCAAGATAATATGTTGATTGTTTTTCCATATATTTTCTACAGATGGCTTACTGACAGTATTTGTTTTACTGATTTTACAATATCGCACTTTTTAAACAAAAAGCCCCAACACTGTTAGTGGTGTAGAGTAATGGTTAGGAAACCAGACTCCATACCAGAAGGTCATGGTTTCAAATCCTGTGTGCTACACTGCTGTTGTACATGAGCAAGACACTTTGCTTATTTATGGCAGGAGTGGTCGCACTGTGGCTAAGGATCTGCGCCTGTGGCTGGAAGGTTCAAATCCTGCTGCCGGCAGAGGAATCCTACTCCGTTGGGCCCCTGAGCAAAGCCCTTAACTCCAACTGCTCCAGGGGCGCTGTACAATGGCTGACCCTGCACTCTGACCCAAAGCTTTTCTCCCTGTCTGTGTGTCTGTGTCTCATGGAGAGCAAGCTGGGGTATGCAAAAAAACAACAAATTCCTAATGCAAGAAATTGTATATGACTAATAAAGTGATCTTATCTTATCACTGGTTACATTTTCATGTAGGATCTACCTGATCTCAAGTTTCTATGAATCACAATACAGTAAAGGGCTGAGAAGTCGACAGAACTGAAATGAGCTTATCTAAGAAATAACACATTGTGGTCCTTCATTGAGGACATTACAGGCAATTTTAGGCCAAACAGCATCTGGAAATGCTGTAATTGCTCAAGTGCATTCAAAATAATACAATATTCCTGAACATTTGAGATTTTACCAGAATACATTTATAGAGTGGGTATATAACTGATAATTTATTAAGAAGCGTAAAATTAGGACCAAATAGACATCACTGCATGATAACAGCAACGCTCACTCTCAAGAAAGTTTAAAGCATTCTCCTCAATTGTATTAGGTACTTCATGCCTTCCTCAGTATTTCATTGACGGAAAACAGTTCACATCACAGATGTATAAAACTATTTTTTATTTGGTTGCTTTATCTGTATATTATACGGATGACATGTAAAGTAAGCCTTTATTTGACATGTAAGCCTTTATCTTAGTTTCTGAATCATGCTACATCCCATATATAATTGACATATTTTTTATTTATACCTATCTAGAATACTATAGTACAATACATGGTACTGTGAGGACCATGGATCAACTACACTGAAAACAGAGTTTCATTCATCCAAATTGGTGATGCTTTTTACACACTCCACTCATATTCTTATGAATCCAGATTGTATCTGCAAGTGTTATACAACTTATGGTTACTTAACAAATGGTTACTTACAAACATTGTAAATAGGAGCAATACTCAAAACCATCTAGAACATAATATCCATGCTGCAGTCTGGAGATGAGTTGCCAAAGCATCCAGCAAAAAATAACTTTAACTTCCTAATTAACAGCTATTAACTGGCACAACAACATACGTTTGGAAACTTCACACCCAAACTCTCACACCTGAAGAAGGCTCCACTGCCAAAATGTTGTGTTTTCTTCTCTTTTACTTGTTCCTCTGTTAGTTTGGAAATACATTCTCAAATGCCCAATCAAAACAAGGCATGCATAGCTAATACCCTTCATAAAAGTCTTAAATGTTCAGTGTTTTAATGCATTGTAAGTTGAAGCAATCTCATATACACAAATCAAATTAATATCTGTGACTCAGATATACAAGTAAAATAGCTTCTCATAAGCCCAGTGTTGCCTAACTGTAGTTCACTGGGGCAGGTGAACAGAGAGTATTCTGTTGGCATTGACAATGTTGAAATTGAAAAGGCACATTGAAGTAGTGTTGAACCTCATGATTATGTGTACAAATGAGAAACCATTACACTTTTTGGGCACCTGACTAGAGAACAACCCAAAGGACTTGGTCACCAGGGGCTTTATCAAGCCTTGTAAGAGATGGGACTAGTAATACAAAATATTAAGCACTGGACTCACCTCCCTTCAAATCTGTGTTTTAAAAAGTCAAAAAGTGCTTTCTGCATCATATCCGTCACCTGAAACAAACAACACACCAATCAATATACAATAATAACATTTTAAGACTCTTTATTTGATCACCTGTTTGTAGTAAAGTATTTGTATAAGGTTACAAACTCCTAAGTGTTATATTATTGTATTTGTTATAGTTAAAATAATAAATAAAACTTACAAAGTTGGTTTAGTAAAGAGAGCAAAACTTTAGGTTATTGTATTATAACTGTATTATAGAATACTTACAAAGCAGCTAAACATGAGAACAAATCCTTGTGCTTGGTTTACAGAAGTAGCCATTGAGCTCTGACTCAAATGGCTGGTGATTTTAATATTGCCCTGTTAACACTGTATATTCCCGATCACACAGGACTGCTAAACAATTTGCATCTGTCAATCTAAACTGTTATGTTTACTAATTCCAAAAAACATTCTTCATAGCCTGCCTACCTCATATCCCTTCAACGAAGGCCCCACCAAAACCACAGGTCTCATTGAAGGCACTACATCATATGGAGAAATATGTTCTGTCTGCAAATGAAGAAGAAAACGTTATATATTGTATATCCATTTTCAGACAAGATAAAGATGTGGGCTATTGATCTCCTTAGGAAAATCTAACTCTGACAAATTCTGAACATTGAATTGGACACCCATATGTGTATTTCAGCTTTTCTTCTAGGTAATTACTCTTCAGTCTTTGCACAGAAACCAAGGTTGTGACAGATTATTGGTCATTAAGCATAATTTCTTTAGCAATCGTGTATGAATCTGTGAATGAACACATTGGAAAAATCCCTACAAATCAACACATATTAAACACTTACATTTCAGATTTTTAGGGTGGTAACGTTTGATTATGTAATAATTTTCTTCTTCTCCATACTGACAATCTCACACATAATTTAGAAGAAACTAAAACTTTAAGACATTTTGATCCATAGCTAATTCATTACAGACTGGTGCACTATTTTAAGAAATCAATGCTGAATGACATAAAACAATTTGATACCTTTCTTAGAAATGTTTCCAACAAAAATAAATGCTACAAAATATAAAAACTAAAAAAATAGCTAAAATATAATTACATAAAATGTAAAAAGGGGTATCTAATTCATTGTACAGACTGTTTTCACTCATATATCATAACCATTTCAAGGACTGATGTGTCCTAGAATAAACACACTATAGTAAATAAAATATACTGATAACACAAAAAACACAGAACTGCAGTATGACACAAGTGCACAGTGGTAGCGAGGAGTATACAATAAGCACAACACTTGTAAAACAAATTGTAATGCCTGTGAGTTCTCCCTTCACTGAAAATCATGAGCATGCAATACCATTCAGCAAAATAAACCCCAGTCTGTATAAAAATGCTGATCAATACCAGTAATCAAAAGCAAATTATATTGACTGCTGCAACCAGATTTTCCTTATTAAAATGGTCCCATCTGTTGCCTGGTCTGACTGCCCATTATAGCAATATGTGACAGAAGTTGTAACAACATTGCTTTTATAGAATAGAGTTGATATAGCTTTTTCTGTTATTAATCTGAATGTGTTTAGTAGGAAGAAAGACCAACTGGTTACTCATTTTCGTGGAAAGCCACTCTGTGAGGTATCATTTCGAATCAATCAGTACAATTAAAAGAGATATCAACAAAGACAGCTTTTGTTTTTTTTTGTCACTGAAGTATTCAGCATAAACTGGTGCTGTACAGTACTTTATATAAAAGTTTATTTACATCAATTATTTTTATTTTGCATGACTATCACATTACTTATTATACGGTTGAATTTGTATTGCTGAATTTTTTAAAGGTATTCTGAATTAATTGAAACACAATTCACTCAATACAAAATACTCTGGAGGCAAATACATTGACATAAAAATGCTAAATAAATCCATGCCAATGTTCAAAATGACATCATTTCTATATGCCGTAGCATATATAAATGTGCTTTCCTGCCACAAGGACCTAATAATTCAGTTTGTACCTCCTAAGAAAATTGAAATAAGGTCTGACAAAGCACTTGTAATTTACAATTACATACAACACAGGAAAAGACAGAAAGGGTTAAGTGTTTTCTAAAGCTATGCTGTGCCTTGTTTAAAGCAGAAAGGTTCTTCTGCATGCTGCAGATGAGATAGGAATGCAGCCCACTCATTCTTGGCACAAAATTCTGCCTTCTAGACTCCCAAAATATAGGTTTACTTTTATGGGGTTAGATGAAGATATCCTATAGATACACAACAGAGTACATCTATTCTGACTGGTCAGGCCAATTTGAAAGATTCTTGCAAAAATTAAAGGGCCCCAGTTCATCCTCCTTTTAGGGTTTCCCTTTAACAGTCCATATGCAAGGCATGGGCACTATCCAGGAATGCTGATAATAATGTGAACTTGCATTGCTGCTTTTTATAAGGGAACACAAAGAATTAACCTCACTCATATTTTGCCAATGCTATGTGTGTTTCTAGAATAAATGGGTTTTAAATGGGTTAGCATTTCATTAATTGTTAATTCTTGAGTATGTACAGTATGTATGCATAAACATATCTAATTGCAGTTGGTTGTCTATTTTAAAATAATCCATCTTTTGTATGATATCTAGAGCATATTAAAAGCAAAATATTTTGTCTACAAATAAAGTCAACTCTTATATTAAAAATACCAAGGTAAAAAAAACCAAAGAAACCACTGAGATTGCCACATTTCTGCCAAACACATGAACTTACCGATTTCTGCTTCTGCTTAGCTATTGTAAGATGGAAGAGAAAGAGAATAACAAAGCATGCATGTTAATGGGTTGTCAGAGGACGCTGAAAGTAAACAGGACTTGGCGAGAGACGCAGAGTGACAGCAGAAGCAGTGAGGACGGACATAAGGAGCTTGGAGGTGACCTTTACCTTCTTAAAGAAAGGCATTCTTTTCTCTTTTGATAGGGGAGACATGACACTGTTTGGGCTGGCTTTAGGGGAGCGATGGTTGGCAGGAATCTCATTTTCTTCTGGATCTAAACCAGTGGCATCTATATCAATAGCTATGTACAGACAGATAGGTCAACAGTTATAAAGGTGAATAATTAAATGGAGTCAAAGAGCAACAGCAGTAAAATAACACTTGGCTCAAAGGATAAGCTCCTCTTCACACAGACAGAACGTAAAACAGAAAAAAGTGATCCAAACAAATGGCAAAAGAAATGTATTTTAAAAGGTCAAATATAAATAAAGAAAAAAATAAAAGTTAAAAATTTTGGAGGAGTGGGAAAATACAAATAAAAGGTAACAGCAAAAAAGACTGTGCCCAGAGTCACCTACACAAAAGCTTATGAAAGCTTAAGAAAAATGGGAAACTGAGCAAATTATTATTGTGCTTTCCGTGTTTGAAGTGTTGTAGAGATGAAATAGCTTAACCCATGGTTGTATTGGACAGTGGGATTTTGCTCTTTGATGGTTTAATGGCTGAACCATTAGAGCTTGGTGTTCCCACCTCAGACAACCACACGTGCAAGCTTATACCAAGACACGTTCTACTGTACAAGGTGAATTTTTTATCACAGTAACCCCAGAATCTTAACATGGATTCAATGGCAATCAAAGGGCTGCTGTATCTCCCTGTGACAATACTTAGTTTCCCAGTAGACAACCAGCAAGTACAGTCACTTGATGAATGTTAGTCCCAGATGCACCTCTGCCTTCACCATAGTAGACTCCTGGCAACTGCAGTCCTGAGGTCCAGCTCACAATCAGACGTAATTTTTGGTCTGATTATGAGTATGCAGTATTCTGAGCTGTGGTCTTACCAGGCCACGCTCCTGGGAGACCATGAAACTACAGTACAGTACTTGTATTCTGATCATGTTTGCACCTTCATGCATTCATACTTCCCATGGTATAAATGGATGTAAATGAAATTAGAATGTGAAATATCTTAATAATGTTAAAATATTAGGCTTTAGTTATGTAACTATATTTGTTGTTACACAAAAAATTAATCTGCTTAGTTGTACTGTATGTCAAGGGTGCAGCCTTGAGGGGAAAAGTATCTTTGGAACTTTTGGAATCATTTTCATAACAGTATAGGGTGCCTACAAAAGAAAGTTATTTCCTACATTTTCCTACAAAAAGAGGTCTTAATCACAAATTCTACATGCCTTAAGATTTGCCTTAAGAACAACTTCCACTTCAACCTACCAGAGGAAGGAGGAGTAGATTTCCTTGAACTTGGTACCACTTCACCTAAACTTGAGGACGAGTTTCCTCCTGATTTGCTGTAAAATAAGAAGACAAAAAAATAAAAAGTATATTACAGAAATAAAAAAAAAAACATTGGTTGATTATATAAGAATGATACAATTCTTGCAAATACCTGTTCTAAGATTAGGTCCTTTTTAAAATAACCGGGAGAGAATAGATGAAAGCAGAGTAAAATATTTCTGCTCAGGGGTGAAGAGGACAGGGTGCAGTGTGCAAAAAAACTGTCACTGCTCCCTTTTACGATGTAGTACACCTTTAGGCCTTGTGTAAGTGTATGCATTTGTGTGTGCATTTGGACTACCAAATGCATTACTACTACCTTGCAGACCATTGGGTCATTGTTGTTTATAAACAGTTAGTTTGTCTTCTTCCTATATATACTTTTTAATGGTCTGATTGTATGACTAGTTAGGTTGGTCTTGAGGCTAGTTTTAGAACAGTGGTAAATGGTGACATTAAACACAAGACTAGCAGTAGTGTCAGGGTTTGTGTTAAGAGTTAGAAGGTCCAAGATCATGGTTAGTTCTAGTATTTGGTAGAACCTATTAGGGTAGGTAACGTAATAACCTATTTCTTAATTTAAAACCCATTCCAAGTAAAAAGTTATTTTTATTAATTTTGTAAAACACCAGCTTTTTGGTGTGTGTATGTATGGGGTCAGTTGTACATTTGCTCTTTTTTCACTTTATTAGTGGTGTGGGGGAGCTATTCACTTGTTTGTGACAGCTAATTTACCTACTCATCACAGACACTGACATAGTGATGTTACCAACCCCTGGGTAAAACATAAGGAGACAAATAAAATATACTGTACAGTCGACTCAAAATGTACACAGTGGTTTGTGTTTTTGAATAGCAAGTAAAGCGAAATTCATGTATAATCAAATTTTACCCATAATCCTTATAATAATCCCATACTAACCTATTACAGAAATACAATATATTAAATATAAGTATATAAATAGTAAATAAAAGTGAATAAGATCACTCTATAGGCTCACTAGCTCTCATAGGTGTGCCTGACAAATTTTTCAGAGAATATAAAATTTTTTCAATATTTTTAATTTTCCAGAGTCAAACGCATAAAACTGTGGATGCCTAAGTTAAGACTGCGTAAGTTGTGAGTCGACTGTATACAATTCTAAGCATATAATTCCAGGATGCTACTTGCTGATTTACTTTATCTTGATATAGCTTCTGATAATAACAAGCCTCTAATACCTGGAGTAGAATTTTCCCTGCTTCACCCGCTGTTCATGCTGTATTCGCATATTCTCCAGCTTGACCGGGCTAGGAATGAAACCTATTTCACAGCCTTCTTTTACCAACCGGCCTATCCACCAGTCATTATTAAATTTCTGAGAGACAAAAATAATGAAAAGAAATTAGACATTATACTCTTGAAGTTATTCTAACAATTTTTGCTGAAAAACTGAAATTGCGAAAAGTGGATTCTATAGTTCATGAGTTTAAGACTCTTCCTTTTGCCCTATCTGGTTTGAAAAAGCCAGTTACATGTAGACCAACATTTGCCATTTTATTCACAATAAATGCCATGTTTTCTAATATTTTAATTGCACTATTTTTTTTTAAATTGCACAATTTAAACAAAATAAAAAAAATAATTTACTTTAATTCAGATACTTCAAGATACAGAGTCTCCCAAAGACCTTTCCTTTTTACCAGGTATCTTCACCTTTAAGGTCCTTGTTAAATTAGGCAACATGCTACATGCTGGCCAGCTTCTATTCTTAGCATCCATTTCCCACATCTATTACCCTGTGTGCAATATCAAGTCAGAGTACAAATATGCGTCACGATTATGAATGAGCACCAGGAATATTCAGGCAGTGGTAGATAAGAGATATTGCTGGTTTGTTTTTGGTAGTGAATTATAGCAGTAATAATCATGACAGATTTCTGTTAATATATATAAATAGAAGAAAAGGCTATTTGTATAAATTTTTCATGTGCTGTAGTTCTCAGAAATGTTCAGATTAATAGCAATTTGAAACAAAGGTGAACTCTCAGCTTGTTGCTTGGTGTAAATGATGAAATGCCTTCTGATGACATTGCAGGCAATAGATTAATATAATATACAAAAAAAATGTTTTTTTATGTCCTTCTCTTGATCTGTACTCTTTTTTAGTTTTATCCCTATGCTGTTCTGTCAAACTTTTTCTGTGCACAGTTTAGACATTAAACGTTTGATTAAAAAACATCACTATAATTATATTATAATTTATAATTAATCAAAACAAAACATAATTGGAAAGGGGTGAATATTTAGAATAAACACACATTATAATATACAATCAAATATTTATACATCTATCTAGCACAGTGACTCACATGACAAGGGCTGAGAATATCTTAGTTTGAGATTTAAAAAAATAAATTCTAAGCCATTCAGGTATTGTATGAATTACTGAATGGGCTACTAGCTTTTCTAACTCGCAGGATTTATGTTGCAAGCAGTGAAACTGAATGACATGCATGATATGCCTATGCTTTGAAATGTTTCTTGAATTCAAGTTTTCCCCTGTCTGGAATGTCAATTTGCTGAATTACAGGAAAAGGACACTGGTCAATTAGAATGACAAACTGTGACCAAAAACCCAACCCAACTATTAGACACTAATCACTGCTCAATTTCTGTGACACCTTTATGCTACACAGATGGCTGCTGACTCACTTAAGACCCATCTAGGAGAGGTGCTATATCTCACCTCTTTGACATGAAGGAAATCCTTTGCTTCAAAGGAAATAGCCATGCCAGGGACAGGGACTTCATCATCATGAGCAGCACTGTAGTTGACATTTGTGCGGACAGCAAATGCAACAGGTTTAGTCTGTCAATGAGAAAGATAATACAAAAAACAGGAGGGTTTGCAGTTAGTTCTTGCACCTGAAATGTCAAAAGTCTCTTTCCTTCACCAAGTTTTTATTTTCAGCATGGCATTTACGTGTCACATATCAATATAGGAAGGGAGCCATGTTGGTGCAGTGGTTAGCATTGCTGCCTCACAACACTGAAGCCCTGAGAGCTATTATAGACCTGCAGTCTATGTGGAGCTTCTGTGTTCTCCTCTTGTTCTTATGGCTTTCATCTGGGTGCTCCCGCTTGCTCTCACAGTCCAAGGTAATACCAGTCAGTGAATTGGCTTCTGGGAAATTTGGCCCTGATTTGCATGGGTTTGTGACTGTTGTCCCATCCAGGGTGTATCCTTCCTGGTCCCTGTTGCTTGCTGGGATAGGCTCCAGCCCCTCCACGACAAAGAATTGAGTTGGTTAGAAAATTATACAGGAAGTAAAAACGTTTTTTGCCCATGGGGCTAAAGTGAACTTGTCTGCTTTTTTTCAAAATAGTGTGAAATATAGAAAAATACCTCTAAGGGATGTCAGTGGGGTAACTAAAAGTCTATGACTCACTCTGTTCAGTTATGTTAGTAATGAGATCATTAATTCTTTGCTCTCTCTTTTTATTCATAGTGAAAGCTAAAGTAGTACACTGTAAGGCAGCAGTGGGGCTGTGCATTAATATCTATAATGTACCAGTGTTTTATTTGTGGTTGTGAAAAATAATAAAACCACTAAGGAAATTCAAAATTAATTCACAGTCAATCCAAAAAACCTTAATGTAACCTGCACATACTTTAAGAAGAAAATAATATTTAACATATTTTAAAAATATTTTCACAATATTTTAGAAAAGAAAAGCAACTAAAAGATGATGTCCTATTTTCATTACTTCTGCTTAGCTCTCAGGTCGACATATTAAACCTGCGCAGTCCAGGCCATTTAACCATCAGTGAGACATGTTTAACAACCCATCCATCAGAAAGCCACTTGTCCTTGAAAAGTTCATGGAAACCTGGAGTCTATCAAGGAAGCCTGGTACTCAAGGCATGAATGAGGGCAGATGATCTCTCTCACCCTAGACAGGATGGTAGTCAATTGTAGGGAGTTAGAGAAAGGGAAATTTAAAATAGCCAATGAAACATAGCTAGCATGTCTTTGAGAACTGGAAGGAAACCAAAGTACTGATAAAAAACATGTACCCATGAGAAAAAATGCAGACTCCACTGATAAGGTGCCTCAGGAGAGAATTGATTCCAGGACTAAAAACCCTTTGAAGCAACAGTGCTAAATTCTGGACCACCAGGCCACCACATGTTGAACTAAACATTAAAATCCACACCGAATTCAAAATCATTCTTCAAGAAATATGACGCATAAAGGGCAAACAAATCCATCCTGAGACATTTCTGCCATTTATTCAAATGACCTTACTTGACAAAATATGCAACAATATAACATTTTATTATTTTTATTTTTTTAGGAAAGGGCATTTTCAGAGTTTTGATTTTTTAACAAAACATTTTAATGCATATTGATGTTCTATTTTATAAGCTCCCTTTTTAGAATCAGCAATTATTAATTAAGGTGGATCACTGACATGGGATAAGGAGGAAGCAGTGTGTCTCATCTGATATACCCAATGTCCTAGTTCATCAAGATTTCTGTGCTCCAAAGGACTATTACTCAATTAGATCATCCTTCAATTCACAACTGGCAATCCACTGAAGCTAAGCAGGTGTGAGCCTGGCCAGTACCTGGATTGGAGACTGGATTCCCCAATACTGGGGAAGTTAAGCTTGCTTCTGTAAGTGGTGTTAGGGGAACCAGTAAGGAGTGCTCACCCTGCAGTCTGTGTCGGTCCAAATGACCCAGTATAGTGATGGGGACACTATATTGTAAAAAGGTGCCATCCTCCGGAAAAAGCCATAAAACCAAGGTCCTGATCCTTTGTAGTCATTAAAAATCCTCAAATTTCTCAAAAAGAGTAGGGGTGTCAACCCTGGCGTCCTGGTCTAATTCCTCCCTGGTCTTTCCCAATCATGGCCTCCTTATAATCCCTTCATTACTCTGTTCTCCTTCCCACTGATGTGTGGTGAGGGTGAGCATACTGGCAAACTTCAGCTGCTTTTGCATCATCCCCTGTGCACACACACTAGGTGGTGCTGAGGGGAGTCCCCATTACCTGTAAAGCAATTTAAGTGGATTGTAAATGAATGAAACATAGCTGGCATGTCTTTGAGAACTGGAAAAGTGCTATATTATTATATTATAAAAATAATGATATTAACAATAATAATATGCCCATTGTATTCCACTGTTTAGTGTATGCTAGTCACAGCAAATGACAGACCTCAGACTCTGTTAATGCTTTAAAATGTAATTAAAATTTAAACTGCAAAGATGATTCTGCACCTATAGCAGTGCTTCAGTTATCTGCGCAACTTGAAAGCCCCAAAATTGCTCAGAAAAAAAGGAAGAAGATTAAATTACACATATTACATTTGCATGTGTTATCAGACTGACATTTTAAGAAATTATTTTGGGTTTCTCCTGCTATTATTTAAGAATGTAGATTTAACCTTCTACAGTTTATAGTATGTTAAGTAATTAGAAAGTGTAAACAGTGAAAATCATTTTAGCATAGACCGGATATAAAAACGAAACTGAATTATAATGCTGCAACTGTGAAGCAATATATTTATATATTGTTATAAAGTTTGCTGGGAGCTACATCATTAACCATCAAACATATGTTAATCAAATAATTAACATGTTTTGATGACTGAAATAACTTCACAGGGGAGTTTCTAAATGTTAAGTATAGATCAGACTGAATACACAATGATTCACACTTATTGCAGACTCTTGCTGAAAGACCCACAGGAGGTGTCACAACAATCTATAGCTCTTATATAAAAAGACACTGGTAATATATGCATGTTGTGAAATGTATTACATACAATAGAGAAAGGATTTAGTGATGCAGATTTAAAAATGAGTCATGAAGAGGAAAAAAACTCTAACCCTCTAACCATTTTTGATGTATGCTTTAAGAATTACATAAGTTATTCTACATTACACCAACAATGTCAATTTTATCTCTATGATAACATACCGTATCAGTCTTTGTCATCAACATGTTCTTTTCTAGAATATATTACCTATTCTGAACTGTGACAGATGTGTCATCATAAAACCTGTGAAAAAATGCTTTGTCTTTAATTGATCCCTTAGCTTCTGTCCTAAAAGTAGAATGTTATCTGGGTCAGCACTGAGCGCAGTATATTATTGTGTTAAATGTTATTCTAAAACAGAAAGTGCAGGGATAAAATAAGTCTACTAGACAGTCAAACCATTACTAAACCAAATAAGGATTTTTCAATTTCAGGATTTCCAACTTTCAATCTGAAATTATCTTTATAATCACCCATATCACACAGAGCTAGTCCAATTAAATATTTAGTGAAAACATAATAATGATTATGTGTTTCTTGTATGAATCATGTTCAATAGTATGTATTGTTCCACAAACATCCTCAAGTTATAGAATGTATATTACTCAATAGCGTGCCATTTTTGTAAGATGTCAATGTGAACTGAGTTTGCATGTTATGTTTATACTATGAGAATCCCAAAATGGATCAATGGCTTTTATCTGGCACTCTTAAGAAAATAAAGACAGACAAATGACAAAGTGACACTGAGTCATCAGCAATTAAAATTCAGCACAACAAACGTAGGTGAAGAGTTTGGAGAAAATACAGCAGTGAATACTTAAAGCTGGACATTACTTATACTGTAACTGGGATTTCATTGTTGGATAACACAGTTCAACAACAGAATCAATGAATCAGCCCCCCCAAAATTGATTAGGCACTCCAAATGGATGAATCTACTGGAAAACCTTTCAAAGCATTCAAATGTACCTATGTAAGGCATGGAAACAACGGAGAGATGCAGGAGCACATTTGTAAGTATTTGCCTATACACTGACCTGCACGGGCACTTTCTGACATATTAAACAGTTTAATCATTGAAAATTTGATTGATGGGTCAAAATATGATGAACTGTTGCACAGATAGGGCCCGTGTGATGTTACATGCGATGTGTGTATTCTGTCATTAGACAGTACCTCCAAAGTTCAAAAACAAGTCTATGCAAGTACTTCCCTCTTCCCAACACACCTCCACTTGTAAGCTTTGATAGCGAAATCATAACAGGATTGACTTGAACAGAGCAAGACAGCCTTGTGAAACTGTCCAGTGAAGGTGCTTTAAAGTAGGATTTTTCTGTGCAATACTACACTGATTTTTTTGCTTAAGGTTGCCCAGCAAGGCCATACATTTCTTATACCTTCTCCTATATTCTACATTTGCAGAACTGAATTTCTAAAATCTTTCCACTGGAAATGATATTTGGAGTTTTGCGTCTTTCAAACAACATCACTCTCATTAATTACTTTTTTTCTATTCAATGTCCAAAACATATTGGGAACCTCTGCTCTGTTTTAGATAAGGTTGAACATTTTTAATCATTAATAACATCTACATCACGGCTCATGATTTCCAGAAGTCCATCCATACCTTTTCAATATTTATCTAGTTCAATACAGGGTCACAGAAGAACTAGAGGCAAAGGGGACAAGGCAGGAAAATGGATGTTCATTGCAGGGCACATACAAGCATGCACTCACATACTGTACATAAGGACAATTTAGAGAAGTCACATAATCTAATGAGCATTCCTTTAGACTCAAGAAGGAAACTGGAGCACTGTGAGAAAGTCCACATGGCCATGTGGAGAACATGTGATTACTGTAGCATGTCCAAGGAATTTCTCAGCTTGCACCTGGGTTAGACTTTTGTTTACCCTAAAAATTTATTGACAGTCTTAATTAAAAGATATAGATGGAATGATTAGCATAAATTAAGGGCAGTGATGTGGAGGGTCAGGAGACCCTCTTGAAGACATTGAACACTAGGGTTTACT